TCCTGGGCTTTTGGCCAAGTTTTGTTGGTGCATTCGCAAACCAGCGCTTACTTCAACACGACTGTATTCATCCATACTAAACATTTGAGCTGAACATACACATTACACATGACATGCCGCCATTTTCATATGTGTCTACCACATTTACCTTCATCATGGCGCCAAAAGCAAATATTTACGGGGAGCCTCCGCAGCATTCTTCCAGTGTCTCGACTGAGTCGAATAGGGACGCAATGCGTTTGGGAAATATAGAATGGGACTAGGAACAGGAGGGAACACTTGACTGCCAGTACTACTACCAACCAGGTTGAGAAAAAAACGTCCTAGGTTGTGATACGATTTTTACGATTCATGGGAGGATCTTAGACTAGGAGTTCTCATCAACGCCGATGATTTTTTATCTTTTTAATAGCGTTCTCGTGTCAGGAAACACACGAGAAAACCGTCCATCATGGCAATTCAAAGACGTCATTCATCAAGACTATTATCTCTCAAGTGCCATTCTAATGTGCCGGGTTCCAGCATCGAGCAGTCTTTTTGGGGGTGACCATTGTCTGTACTAAAATAGCAACGGAGCAGAGGAACCCACTGTGGCGCTCACCATGTTTGCACACCAGACGCCGTCGCCCCGGGGGATGCGGGCTAAGCGTCCGTAGTTTCACACGCCGTTTGGCAAAGCTCGAAAAGCTCGCAAGGACCACCACGTTTTCTCGACTCTTTTCACCAGATCCGGATAGCAGGAGTCGAGGCGGACTCGCTGGCTCTCTTCCTCTCTCTCTCTCTCTCTCTATCTGTTGAGCGGAATAAGCCTGAGCCGGGTTGAGAAGCTTCTGCAACTCAAGAAGCCTCAACGTGCGTGAGAGAAAGCATGCAAGTCAATAGCATGCGGAGTAGGAACATGATAGTGAAGTAGAGAAAAAAAGCAACAAAACAATGTATTGGTGGCTGCACCTGCGAGACATGCTCTGAGTTGTCAAGCTGAGGAAGCCTGCTGCCGCCGGGGAATTTACAGGTCAGGTGGCTTCAGTTGATGCGAATTGACGAGAACAGCCACCAGAATGAGACAAGGCCCAAAACCAAGCGGCAGGGTGATGGAGGAGACAGGATTGTCTCAGACAATGGCTCAGGCACAAGAGACACAGAACAAAGTTTGGGGGTCCTCCTCTCCCGTTCCGTTATCATGACTTCAGCTTTCCCTTGTCTCTGGCGTTGTCACTGGTGGCTGCTCGCCTCGCTAACCCAACAACTTGTAAGTGGTGGGATGGTGTGAACCTCCTCTTTTCACCCCCTCTTTTTATTTTCTGGTTTGCTCTCAGCCAAGCAGGCGGTGGCCGGGCCAGCTCACAACACACCATTCGCCGGACCGATCGCGTTTCGCCCACTGGATCGAGCGAGTTGCGTGCTGGCTGCTGCTGCTGACTGCAGCCTGCAAGTAACTTGCATTGCGTGGACACTATCGAGCTTTTTAACTCTCCGAGGCTCAAAAACCTGCTTGGGCCATGGGTCCAGAACGGCCCCTCGACAGAGTTGACACAGACGGTTGCTGGACAACTTTCGATCCAAGTCCGTCGCTGGTGTGCAAGCTGCGTATAAGTCCCATCGACCGAGCAGAGCCTTTTGGGACCACTTAAACATTTGGCCGAGCCCGCCCCCGAAGCTATCCGTTGCAGACTACTCCCTCTGTGTCTGTGCTCGCAGTCCAGGTCCTAATAAGCAAGAAACTCCACTGACGAAACGGTTTCCGGAAGAGTGCTGAATGCCCGTCTTATGCCCATTCCCTCCGAGCTGACGGGGCCAAGGCCAGGAACAGGTTTACGAGATAGGGTATCACCGCGCGGTTATCTGTGGATCGTTATGCTTAATACCCTTTGTGTCGCATCCACCACTGGCACCCTGAACCAGTCTGATCATCCCCTGGAGGGGCGCAACTGATAGCGGTCACCCACTTATGATTGACCGCTAGCTATTGGGTTCCCGTGTCACCATTGGAGTCATAACAGCTTCCTAAGATCGACAGGGACTCTGTCCGTGGGACCCTTTGGACTCTTTCTTGAAAAGGATCGTTGGAACGCATCGTAGCGAACGCGTGCCAAGGCTGTAGCCCTGGGCCTCTCATAAGAGCGTAATGCTCACTTGCATCGCACATCGCTTACATCTGATGCAGGAATTCCAGGGAAGTTTCCAGAGCCTGGCAGGGATGAGGGCAAGAAATAAGTTGGCTGTAGATGGGCACTCCGCGCACTCATCTTGCTGGTGAAAATACCACTCGATAACACTTCTGGCTTTGAGTCGCCGGCCCTGGCCTCGTTCCAGGATACCAGCTTGCTTTGATGCCCTGGTCCGTTGCCGTCCGCGCACTGCACACCGAATCAGCCCATCACAGATGTGGCGCCGCCGTTTCACACATGGCATGGCCAGCCGGGAGGAGGTTGGCAACTTGGCAAGCCAAGGTGTGGTTGCGTGCAGCATCAGTCATTTCGCTCCGATGACAAGGCAAGTCGAATCTGGTGAATCTGGCCGGTGTCCGTCGCTCGTGACAACATTCAGTCACCGTTGCGTATGCCGGGTCCGTTTCAGCCTCCGTCATGCTCCCATGGAACCGTGATTTGCAGTTGTGACAGTGTCGACGGGCCAGCCCGAGATATTGATGCTTGATAGGGAATTAGACATCGTGTTATTGGATCTGGCGCAGACACTATCTGTTCCTTGGCAACCGCCAGCCGTCACGATAGTGGCTGTCTGGGCGAAGCTGAGCTGGCCAGCCTTGCCCAAAGACGACTCCCGGAGCTCCGAATGTAGTATCGCTTCCGCTGTCATGGAAGTGGCTTCGATGGTTTGTGAAACCTTCACTTATTTGCAAGAACTCTGCTCCTAGTATGCCAAGACGGTTTGGTGGTCTAGTCTTGTTGCAGAGAGGTCTTCGGTGAGACTAAAATTGCAGTGAAATGCATTACCGGAGGCCAATTTGGCTTTCATTGGCGGAGCATACTGAATTACAATTGCAAAGGTTCACCACAGAGTCTAAACTAGCAGCGAAGCCGCAGCAATTATGAGGTGCATGCCCGGGAGCAGTGGTGCAGAAGGAGACTAACCAATGGTATTTCAAACCCTTTCTTCGCTCGAACAATACGATGGTTCTTCTGTCATTGATGTCGACCCCGTAAGGCCAGAGCATCTTCGGTATCTGCGATATACCAATTGTTTATTTTCTTTCGACCTCCAAAACATTGATCCTCTTCAACCCGTTGCACACTGGCACGTTGGCATAAGGAAAGACGAACTTGTCAACCCATTGATATTGTTGCAGACCCCTCTGTTACTACGACGTTCACTACCAAGTTGGCTACCACAGATCATGTGCACATCAGGTGGGTTGAGGTTCGTTATCAAGAACAAAGTGCACCCGTACCCTCCTCTCTAAGAAACATGGCAGTGTGAGAGGCAGTAGAGCAATGGCAGTCGAAAGAGCGAGAACCTTAGACATGTCTGCAAGAAAATGCTGGCAGCTCTCACTTAGAGTATGTGGATAGACAGCAAGAGGCATACGGAACAGGAAGACATGTTTCAATCTAATGGGGTGTGAAGCCGAAATATGACGAGCTCTGCCATAAATAAGTAGCTGTCAATAACACTAGCAGGCAGAATCAATATCCATCGCAGGTTGCCAGCCATTTGACCACGAGTCCTCGAACTAGGTCAACAATTAAGGTACAATGACATATCCAGTTCCCAATGCATGTTGTCCATGAACAAACAGGAGTATCTTCAGATAAGCTCATGCCGAAACCTAAACAAGGTCAATAAGACACAGAACAAAATGTCATCTGGCCTGGCTACAGAAGAACAATTCAAGGCCCTCCGGGGCTACTATCGACTCCGGGTTTTGCCTGACTGTTTCTCATGCGCATGGACATGCCTCCACTCCGTGGGTTCGGGTTAACGAGGAGCGACCCTAATCAGGCAGGGGCGAGGGGATGCAGCTTCCCAGACAGCCGAATATATCGCGAGACACGCGTGATTCCCAACTAATTACCCCGGACTTTTGAAAACCTGGGGTCGAGACCAGACACATGCATGTGTCCTCAAGCGGGGAATCTCCAACCGCTTACCTTTTCTGGACAGCCAATAATCACAAAAATACACATGATACAACTCAAAGGAACGTTTAGGTACCGAAATGGATGGGCGTTTAGAGGTAGGGCCTCTCTTGCCTTAACCACAGTAGATATCAGTTGACATCTTCAACCTGTGGTTCTGGTGAGTTTCCAGACTGGGCGGTGGTGGTTCCACTGATTCGGGACCAGCGTTGTGGTTCGCACCGGCCCGGATGAGGAGGGTCCGCGTGCAAACCTTCCCAAGTTGTCATGAAGCCCTTCCAGTGTATCGTGGTCTCGCCACAGTCTTGATTAACAGGCCTCTTAGCATACGTGGACTGCTGCCCAAATGGACATAGCATGCAGGCTATGCCACTACTATTCCCACAAAAGGGCAAGTCTCGAGGGCATCGTGTAAATGGGACCCGGTGGCGGTTGAAACTTCCACCGCCTTCCCCGCAAACAAGCATGTGGAATGGTAATTATCCCAATTTCAGGGTCCTCCCTCCTATCCCGTGAGGCTTCCAGCCGTTAACCAGTGACCCACGCCAGAGGTCTTCCCCCACTGTCGGGAACCTTTTTTTAGCGGGTAAGGTGGGCTTGGTGGGGTAATCTGCCGTGGTATGGGTACCACTTAGTGATCGACAGGGGATCATCTGCCCTCTCATTTGCCAGCCTTGTACAGCTCCCATTTCGTTGTCGTGGCCTTTCATTCTAAGCCTCGTATCCTCCATCGCCATTCTTCGTCAGCTTCTCTCATCTAACCATTCACAAACAGTTGGTCGCTGTGTCTTCTGCAGTGCCAATTCCAGTCATTCTTTTTCTCATGTTCACTTGATTTGAATTAGGGTATCCGGCGGCCCCTAAACCGCACATCGGCAGCCCTGCGTTGGGCCTCTGACCACAATGGCCGAGCCTCTAAGCGCGCCGTGGCAGCTGCTCGCTCATCTCTACGACGCAGCTAGGGATGCACCATTCTACATCCTGCTCCTAATATTCAATGCGATCATTGTCCTGGGCGTCTTCCTTGTAAGTGACCTCTCTGGCTCTCCAATTGATACCATAGCTCTGACAATGGCCTTAGATCTACCTCACCCTCCACCTCATTGCGCCAAAGCCCCGCGCCGTCCTCCCCTCCGAAAAGACCTACATCACCACAACTCCAGATGGCAGCGTCAGTGCGCCCCGCCAACTGCCCTGCTGGTTCGACCGCTGGCTGGCCGAGCGCCGGCTCAGCGAGGCCAAGACCGCCGCCGGCGAGGACGTCTTCTCCGTGCCCGACACGGGGTCCATCGAGCCCGCCCAGGTGGAGGTGAGCGTCGTGATCCCCGCGTACAACGAGGCGCTGCGCATCGAGCCGGCGCTGGAGGAGGCCGTCGCATACCTCGACGCCAAGTTCGGGCGGCCCGACGGCGCGAACAGGAACCAGAAGCGCGTGACGAGCCCGCTGACGCCGCACCGGCAGGTGTTTAGGAGGCCGCCGGCGAAGGAGGTGTCCGGGTACGAGATCGTCGTGGTCAACGACGGCAGCACGGACAAGACGGTGGAGGTGGTGCTGGAGTTCTCGCGCAAGCACCAGCTGCACGACGTACTGCGGGTGGTGACGCTGGAGAAGAACCGCGGCAAGGGCGGCGGCGTGACGCACGGGTTCCGCCACGTCCGGGGCGAGTACGTGGTGTTTGCCGACGCGGACGGCGCGTCGCGCTTCAGCGACCTGGGCAAGCTCATCGAGGGCTGCGAGGACGTCGTGGACGGCTCGAACCGCGGGGTCGCGATCGGCAGCCGCGGCCACCTGGTCGGCAGCGAGGCCGTGGTCCAGCGCTCGGCCCTGCGCAACTTCCTGATGAAGTCGTTTCACTTCGTCCTGATGATCTTGACGCCGCCGGCTACATCTCGCATCCGGGACACGCAGTGCGGCTTCAAGCTGTTTTCGCGCGCCTCTTTGCCCCACATCATCCCCTACATGCACACAGAAGGCTGGATCTTCGACATTGAGATGCTCATGCTGGCTGAGTCGGCACCCGCGACACCCGTGCTCGCTATTGACGGCACCGTGATCGGCATCAGTCCGGGCATTAAGGTGGCAGAGGTGCCTATAGACTGGCATGAGGTGGAGGGCAGCAAGATGAGCCTGGTCAAGGACAGCATCAAGATGGCTATAGGCCTGACTGTGCTGCGAGCTAGCTGGATGATGGGTGTATATAGACGACGACTGACATGATAAGACCAAAAAAGCAATCCGTTCTCATCTAGACTTGGCTGAGCATAGCATTGGCAGGACATCTGTAGATAGATTCACAAAAGACTTGCCTCGCGAACAATGTGAGTAGTCCGATATTAATCGTGTGCGTGTCTTCTTATTGTCTTCATTAATATTACGATTCTACCCATATGAATATGTACAATCATCTTTAATATGATACAAAAATTCCCATGCATTTGCGCCAGAGTCAGCTTGAGGCTCGTAATAGAGCAACGACTCTTTGGATCCATCGCTGGAGAGACCAATAGGGGCCTTAGACGCTCCTCGATCCTTCGACGCCTGAAAGCGCCACCGTGCAACCCGAGCCCAGCCTACTGGAACTCGCGATAAATGACCGGCAAGAACACAACACACGCCCTCCAGAGAATGAGGATGCCGTCAATGATCGCGATCGGCAGCTTCAAGAAGCCAAAGACGCTGCCGCCCATGACCTCCAGTGCGTGCAGCCAGATGGCGAGGAACGCAACGGTGAAGAAGTGGGACGCCAGTGTGAACGGGCGGTGCAGGATGCCGCCCATCAACGCAACAGGCTCATCTGTCATGCCTCGCTGGAAGTAGTCGAAGCAGCCGATCTTGAGCGCCGTCAATTGCGGGTCCGACGCCGCAAAGAGGCTGTACAGCGCCATGGCGAGCGTGTTGATGATGGTCGACAGGCTCTTGCGCCGCCAGTGGAACTCACGCATCGCATTGTGGATAGCCTTATAATCGCCCAGATTTGGAATGTCCTCGAGCAGCTCCGTCAGCACGACGGCATCGTTGAAAGCCACAGTCATACCGCCGCCAGTCAAAGGGTGGCGCATGTTCATGGCGTCACCGAGGACAATCACGCCTGGATGTTGTATCTGTTTTGTCGGCGGTAGGTAGCTGTTGGGCATGCTCTTTGGGATCTTGCCGTCCGCAAGGGCAGCTTCGACGCTTGGCTGGACGTGTTTGGGCAGAGTGGGCAACACAACATTGCGGATATAGCCACGAACGCCTCCCTTCTCCGGCGACGCCTCCGGAATCTTCTCTGGTACATCAATCAGAGCCCGCGTCTCATGTGTACCGATCTGGTAGAGGAGAACGGGATACGCCTTTCCGATGACGACGTGACCGTAACCTTCTGGAGGGAAGGGGCAATCGATTAGCTCAAGAGCGTAGAACTTGCTCTTGACGACAGGCGTCTTGCCAATGTATTGCTTTCGGAACTTAGACGCATAGCCGTCCGCGATAATGGTCAGCTGGCCGAAGAAGCAGTCGGGCTTCTTCTTTCCCGTGACTGGATCGGCAGTCCTGGTCTCAACACCAAGAATCTCGGGGCCTGAATCGCCTTTAATCGTCGCGGTGACTTCGGTCTCAAAAATGCTGATATTCGGGTGTGCCGCGCAGGCCCTTCGCAGCTGCATGATAAACCGACCGTGGTGGAAACCCCTTCCTTCTGGCCTCTTGAACTTCTTCTCGGAGTGTGCTGAGCCATTGGCTTGGGGATTCGACACCTGTACATTGCCCGCATCATCGAGTCCTGGATATGGGATCACCACGTCTGTCCCATTGAACAGCACATGATAGCCATAGCAAGGAATTGCATCAATGCCCTCCAGGCACTGTCCTAGGCCTAGTTTCCTCAGTGCTATACACCCGCCCGGCTGCAGGAGCTCGCCAACAATCCTGTCGGGCTCGGACATCCATCTCTCCAGCAATATTACGCTGCGCCCTTGTCTAGCCAGTGCATATGCAATAGCGCACCCAAAAACGCCGGCGCCTACCACAACCACGTCTCCCTCATGATATCTATCCCGGCGTTCCGCGCGGGGGTCGACCGACTCGGTATTGATCGTCATAGGGAAGAATAATGCAGATTTGCTTGTACGACTGTACTGTTCCGGATAGGGGTGTTGCGGCTGAAGCAGCTCAGGTAAGAGGCTCTGCGCAAGTGGCGATTTTGACGTCGTAGATACAAGAGTAGCGGCCGCCTAGTAAAGGGTCCTAACCGTTGAGGGGGACTGTTGAGAGAAAGCAGCGAAGGCGGTACAGTAGACAGCCGCGGCGCGATCAATCGCAGGGCAGACGGGAGGACGTCGTCTTAATTGAAATTCTCGCCAATCAATTGGCTCGTGGCATGTCTTGTCGTCGTGAAGCAACCCTTGAGGAAAAGGCGGCCTCGTATCGTTTTCGACTTTGGGGTGGATTTGTTCATGTGAAATTAGTTCCGATCTTGACTGCTAATCGTTCCATTGCGGATATCGCCGCGTAGGCTCGGCCAATCAGCAAGGCGCCCATCGTTCGAAGCCACTGACCGCCAAATTCACATGTCATTGGTATCATTCGATTTCGAATAGGAGATGGTCCCCTATGCGCCATGTACCGTGCCAAAAACCGCTGGAATCGTCCCAAACGCAGGAACAATTTGACACCGTGGGGAATGCTAGGAAAATGTCCTAATAGGCCATTTGGTTCAAGATTTAGTGTAGGTTTTGACATTTCATTACCTCTTTTTTCAATCGAGTCATACACACTCAAAAGTTGTATCATAATTTAGGTCTTGTGTGATCATAGGCACACGATATCATGTCTAGGTTGTCTAAGTATACATATTGGGCAGTATACATCCATCAACAGCACTCCAAGCCATCATTTAATAGCCCCCTCCCCCGACCGCAATGGGTCTATTGAATGATTCTGCTTTGTAGATCTCTCGCCCAGGGCTTGTTGTAGAGATGTCGTCTCGCCTGGTAGCATGTTCAGGAAGCACTGCAGTTGGTGCCTTGGACGTTACACCTTCCGACGATGCCCTTGGTGACTCCGGAGAATCCATTGAGACCGCCGGGAGATACCCAGCTTCCTCTGCAGCCGTTTGCATAATACGCATTGTTTCTGTCTCCAATATCTTCCTGTCCAGCTCAAGGCGCTCTTGAAGTGATTGGCACTTGATGATGCCCTGTTTCACATACGCTAATGACAATTTAACATCCCTTGTCTGCGTTGTTGACTTGAGTCGTGCGCGAGCAACTTTCAAGGTTTTCATGCACGCCTTTGAATGTCCAAAATGACTATCGAGGGCGCCCTGAATGGCCCATTCCACGCCGTTTGAGTCTGCGATGCCCACGTATGCGGAGAGAAGCACGAAAAAGTTGGAAGGATGGCAGGGATACATCTCGCCTCTTTCACGCAAGGCCGCAAGGCCAAGAGATATAGCTCCGGTGAAGTGTTTGGCCTCAAGACAAACCATGGCAGCACGAGTCAATTCAGCTTCAGTAAGACTGATGCCTTTGGCCTCAAACTGCTCGAGGACACTTGTAACTTCCCTCATCACAGCATCTCTCTTGGACTGAACGTTGATTTTGCTGAGTTGAGACTCAAAGATGGGGAGGATAGCAACACTGATATCGCGTCCTGCCTGCTGGTATTTGAGAAGGAGATCAAGTGCAGGCCGAATATTGCCCCGACCTGCGGCTACAGAGCCTTGGATAGCGAGTTTGAAACACCGCTCACAGTACGGCATGCCACGGCGCATGGCTCTGGTAAAAATTTCCCCAGCAGCTCGGGGATTACCATGCACCAAAGCCTGTTTCATTGCAATGTAAACGTTGCCCTGATCTGCAGTTCTTCCTTTCACGATTCGTACGTCGGGTTTGATGTTCAACGCACGTACTCGCCTCTGAGGGGTTGTTCCACCATATTTGAACTTCACGCCGGAATAGGTTGTACGGAGCATAAGTCGATCTGTAAAGTCGTCCCCCACGTTCGGGTTGAGCCTCTGAAGCCTGGAGTATATATCTTGCAGACCCTCAAAGCCGAAGCCCCATTGTCTGCAATTGACCAATATAGCATGGCTTAGAGCGGCATCGGCATTGATATTCGCCTTGGTGCAATAATCAATCCAATTGATAAAGGCCTGAACATCTCGGACTCTGCCATACTCCTTGGCAATAAGAGTGACCATGTAAGGGGATAGAGGAACATGCAGTTCATCAAGAAACATTCTCATGAACTTCTCCGTGTCCTGAATGGCATGATTCTTGGCATACTCCTTGAGAATCGGTACGAAGACCCGATCACTACCACTCATGCTATCCATCGCCTCGAAATCCTTCCGCACGCCAACCCAGTCGCCGTTTTTGGCCTTCTGTAATGCTAAGAGTCCCAAAAGTCGCGGATTGGTCCTGGCAGCTGGGTCTTTGCTAACCAGTTCTGCGAAATAAGACTCCGCCATAGCCTCTTCTCCCGCTTCTATAGAGATTTGAATCATAACTCTGTACAGGGCATCGAGATGCGTCACTATCGGTTCGGAATCCGCATCGACTGCTGTCAGCTGCCTGAAGAGCTGTGTTGTTTTGTCGTAAGATTCGCGGCGTTGCCAGTGGCAGTACAACAAGTTTGTGACCCAGCGCGTCTTAAGCTTCCATTCTGCTGGTCTCGATTGTAGAAGTGCCGTAAGGACCTCCTTAGCCTTGAAGCCGTGGGTAGCATCGACAGCCACAACAACCATGTCTCCAACGACAGGAAATGAGCTTTCATCTGGCTGCATTTTTGAATAGCATAGAAGGAAGAACTTGATGGCTCTTTTATGCTGGCCACTCTTGTGCAATGCAGAAATGAACCATTGGGTAAATTCAACGGGCCGTTCAAAGTAAGAAGTAACGCGCCAGAAGAGGGCATCGACAAGCCGGGCATCATTCAGATCGAGCGCAGTTTGAATAAGTCGTTTTGCCAAATCCACAATAGCTTCCCCATGTAGACGAGGTTTCTCGGGAAACGTTGGTAGAAACAGAGTAATGGCGGTTTTTAGCCTCTCGAGAGATCCCGGCCGATCGGAAACTTGAATGTCTTCCGCCATCTTCAATGTAGATCTTACAACTTCCAATGGCATGAAAGTGTAATATTCTTCCTCAAGAAGAGGACCACGTTTGATGACTGCTGCCAATAGATGTTGTGCTTGCAGCAGGAGCCCTGCATCGTGGCACTTGCGAACAAGCTTGGAAGCTAATTGTAGAGCTTCTCCCTTTTCCTCAGGAGAAATCTGTTCAGAAGCCAGCCTTGACAGAAGTGCAGCGATCACTTCATCAACTCGGCTAAGATTCACACGACCATCTCCCTCGAAAAGCACCGAAAGGCTATCTTCGAATGTCGGTATTGGCCGGTGCGGATTCGCATTCCTGTGGCCAAGTTCGGTATGGGCGATTGACGCTTGACTTTCGTTCCGAATGATCGGGCTGATGAAAGCGAGAGGCGTGATAGGAGCGGGAAGTGAGCGAGCTTGAGTGGTTGGAGAAGAAATCTGAGGTTTGGCGTCATGTTCGATAGGTTCTTGCGCAGCCGCATCTTCCTGTGTTGCCGTCTTTGTGCGCCTGCTGGGCCGTGAGCCGCCCAAGAATGCCTCGGGGGAGATCTCCATCCAGGCCACTCGCCGTTGTGTGCTGACTTCAGAGCCATCCTGATTCTTCCACCTGATCAGGCCCGCATCAGAGAGATCTTCGTCAGGCCCGACTAGAGCGAATGCAGCGCCGGCCGAGTTGTATTGTTTGGCGGACTTGATCTTCTCTGCGTTTGAGATAGCGCTCCGTGCAGCATTGATGCGTCGTCGTCGATCTTCGGTGACTAGAACAAGTGTGCATGATGTCCCTACAACGAGCCCACGAAGGGCCGTGAGGGCCGCCTTCGATGGCACGGGGAGCTGTGATGACATTGCCTACAAGCAGACAATTCCATTGCTTTTCTGGAATCTCGGCCCCAATGGCAGGAGTAAACACATGGGGACCGGAGGCGAAAGCTACAGTGAGCTATGTTATGTTGCGATTGCTGGCCGTAATTGAGAGTGGAAATTTAGTATGGTCTGATCATGGAGGTCCACTCTTGGAGCATCTCTACCTACGAAGCGTAGCGTGCTGTTGCTGCACGCCCCACCAAACACATTCCAGGCCGAACACCCCATTCGTTAAATGCATTGGTCATTCTGCAGCCGGATGCTGGAGCTTGAGATGCACCACCACCACCACCATCACAAGATCAATGACGGCCAGAGCATTGAGAACACGAAGAGTGTGACGACTCCCAATGGCCCTCGGCTCAGCATGGGCACGAGTACGAGGCCAGCGCACATTCGCCCGACAATTCGGACTGTACTTGTTCGGTTTCGCAACATGGCTGCCACCCATCATCTGGTTTAAGAACAATGTCGCTGAGCTTACATTCATCGATGGACCTTCCATGTCCCCCTTCCTGAATGAACACTACAATGAATCACTGCGACGAGATGTCTGCCTCACCTGGAAGCTATATGCACAGAGCGACCTGCAGCGAGGCATGATCGTTACGTTCAAGTAGGTCCTCATTCCAAACTTGATAGGCGACCAGCTTTGCTGATGAACTCTGCAGCAACCCTCTCAAGCCCGACACTCTCACAGTGAAAAGAGTCATTGGCCTAGAAGGCGACGTCGTGCACACCCGACCACCGTTCCCAAACCCATATATTCGAGTTCCTCCTGGACACATTTGGGTGGAAGGGGATGAAGGCGGGAAGTTGACACTCGATAGCAACACCTATGGACCTATCTCGGCGCGTCTTGTAACAGGCCGCATCACTCATATATTGCTGCCGTTCAATAAGGCTGGAAGAGTCCAATGGTGGCAGCACGTGGATAGAGTTGGCATATTGAGGGAATGATACCGAAGGAAAGCATTCAGGACCTTTTGGGAATGTTCTTTTCCATTGGCAACTGACAATTGCCATTGAGGATCGGTATACATATCCTACACTTTCCCTTAGAGGTAGACGAAAGCATTGCAATGTGCTTCATTCGGGGCTTCGGTCCCCGCATCTTCCGAACAGCAAGGCTAGATATTTCTTGCGCTCGGATATACGAGTCTAACTGGAGGCCGGGGACATTGGCCGACGGCCCCGAACAGTAATACATAGGCTTTAAGGGAGTTCAGGTCAGGCCTCTTCAGAACTCCCTTGTGTTGTAATCAACTTGGCTCCAATCGGAAGCAGCTGTAAAGTAAATCATGAATAGAATAACTACCATATTTCGCGCCGATATGTGATTTCTCATGCAACTTCAATCAATTATTTCAAGAGGCATACGCTAGCTCAAGTCTAGTTGTAGGGCAATGTTGAGAGCTGTGGCTGTGCACTTACACCTAGGTATAGGTAGGTAGGTTGACGTAGTGAGTGCACTGACCAGTTGCCACGGTCCGGATTCCTGGAAAATTGCTGGGAGCACTGAGGCTCGGCCCCGGCATAAAAATACCATCAGAATATCCCGCCCCGGAGACCCGAGAGAGCACACGATACAAATAATTCACCAATACCACAGCGACCGCGAGCGACGTCGACCACCCCGTCCGCCCAGCCCTGCGGCGCGTGTCCACTCCTTTTCGATTGGCGGTACAGACGGGCCATGTTCTTTGGCTCTCCCCTTGGCAACACCTCGCTCTCTCTTTCCTCGACGAACACCGCGCAACTATGCGGCCCGGAACCACGCTCTGAGCTGCCCGTCTCTGACGATGATGCGTCTTCGCCTGGCAAGTGGTCGCTGTCGAATCTTTTCTTTGTCAGACGGCAATTTCAGGGTCGCTTCAACATGGCGCAGGACGAAGGGGAACAGGAGGCGCGGCCTCCCTACCTTCATGTATGATTTCTCGATGCCGAGGGCTGCTTCGGCTGCAAAAGCCAAACTGATACCAATTATTTCTAGTCCATGATCGCCGGTGGTCTCGGAGGAACTAGCGGTGACATGTTGATGCACTCACTCGACACGGTCAAAACGAGACAGCAGGGCGACCCTCACATACCCCCGAAATACACCACCCTTGGGTCATCCTACTACAAGATTTTGCGCCAGGAAGGTGTCCGAAGAGGCTTATATGGCGGTTGGCTGCCTGCCCTTCTGGGGTCATTCCCAGGCACGGTCATGTTCTTTGGGACGTATGAATTCAGCAAACGACACATGCTAGACTATGGCGTGCAACCACATCTTGCATACCTCACTAGTGGTATGTTGCAACCGAAACAACGGCCATATCTGCAAAATATACTAATAATTGAACAGGCTTTCTTGGTGACTTGGTTGCTTCGATAGTCTACGTTCCATCTGAAGTATTAAAGACTCGATTGCAGCTCCAGGGCCGACATAATAATCCATTTTTCCATTCCGGTTACAATTATCGGGGCACCGTTGATGCGGCAAGAACCATCTACCGCCAAGAGGGCTTCGCGGCCTTGTTTCATGGTTATAAAGCAACCCTTTTCCGGGATCTCCCCTTCTCGGCTCTCCAGTTCATGTTCTACGAGCAGGCGCAAAATTGGGCAAGACAATGGAAAGAGAGTAGAGAAATTGGCGTTCAACTGGAATTCCTTACCGGCGCTGCTGCAGGCGGTCTTGCTGGCGCGATGACATGTCCGCTTGATGTTGTGAAGACGAGACTTCAAACTCAACTCCACCCGGAGGCATATCTCGCGGCTGCACGAGCAGGTGCCAAGGCCGGCGGTTTGCCAGAGAGCCATGTCACGCCAGCCGCGGACGTGTCATCACAGCAAAAGCCACAGAAGCGGCTAATATCAACATCTTCGCCGTCGACTCACACGCCTCGCCCCGGCGCTGTCAGTCTAGACACTTCCTCTGTCTACACCGGCTTAAAGATCATCTACAAGTCCGAAGGCGTCAGCGGATGGTTCAGGGGCGTGGGGCCCCGCTTCGTCTGGACAAGCATCCAAAGCGGCTGCATGTTGTTCTTGTACCAAAATATTCTGCGTAAGCTAGAGGTGTGGATGCCTATGGAGGCTGAGAAGAACTTGTGACGAGATACCCGGGGGCTACTTTGTCGGTAGCAATGTTGTACAATATCTGTACATTTTCATATAGAGCATTGTCGGCGTTCATGGTTGGAAATAGACGGCGCTCAGATACTAGATACTGAACAGAGACGATCTTCACTATCATATCACTATATTGTCCCTTATGAGCCTATTTGATGTGATGCACTTCTGCACAGCAATGAATTGGATCGCGAAATGGGCTTAATGAATCTAGATCTTCTGCGTATAACTCCTGGCAGTTAAGCATCCGGGTTTTCACCATTCCTGGCCGACTACTCCTGAGATGTACACTGGTCACCGTCTCCCTAATGCTGCGATGCTCGCCCTCGTTCGTAAACCTCATTGCCGCATGCATCAGCGCGCGTCACCTCCGTCATGAGCCACGACTTCAAATGCCAACGCGAGTCCTTTCTATTGATGGCCATAGTCCCTCTAAAGCAGCCGCTTGTGCCGATGGAAAACCCTACATGCGGTGAAAGAACTTTTCCCCATCCCGTCATGAATGCCCGCGCCAGACGGCTCCCGGGGCTCGTTAGGTGGAAGAGAGAGTTTAGATAGTCTCGGGGATGTTATCGTCGCTCTCGCTAACACTCTCGTCACCGCTGACCTCGGCGTTCTCACGTTCCCTCTTCTCCATGAGTGCCTGGAGCTCGGCATCATCAGACTCCGTAACAGCCTTGGGCTCCATCTTGACGGTCAGCTTGCCACCGGCAGCCTCAATGTTGTTCCGGACTTCCACAATCGCCTCTTCCAGCATTTGAATTCCCGTTTCCTTGACCAGCGTCGTGCTCGTCAAGACGTACAGTGGGGGAGATACCAGTTTGACCTTGACCTGGGTGTCCTCGGTGTTTCTTGCCTCGGCAGTTCTTAGAGCAGTCTTGATGGCATCAATGCCGTCATAACCAAAGCAGGTGACTTCGATATCGGCTCGTACTTTGGTAGGCTGAGGTGTAAGTCTCTTGCTGATGTATGACTTGAGCTCCTCGGCAACGGCGTCGCTGGGAAACTGAATGTCTTTCCATACATCGGGGTTGCTACGATTGTCAGCGACAAGCATCCACAAGAAGCCAGGATTATTCTTACGTGATGGACAGTTTGAACGCGTCGATGGAGTGACCATATTGCTTGTTAAGGGGCCATCCGATCGTCTCGTACAGGTGCTCAATAGGAACGTTGGTCTTCTCTGCGACGTGCCTCATGATGGAGTGGGTCGTTTTACTCTTGTTATATCTCCTGCACCAGAATCAGCACATGCTTCCTCCTGTCAACTTGATGTGCTTATGCTGAACCTACTCTTCGCACTTCACAATATCTTCGGGAGACACTCGGCGCTTCGACAGATCAATGTAACCTGGCTTGGGTCAGCCTCGTCCTAAGCTGTTGCCTTCGAGAATACACACCCTTCTCCTTGTCTACACGAAGAACGACGACAACCTCGTTACGACCGACTCGAATAAGCTTTTGGATACTTCGGATACGACGTCTTGACAGCTCGGATAGCAGAATCATTCCATCGATGTTGTCGTACTCGAGGAGCTTGCAGTATGCGCCCATATCGGCGATCTGGCAGAGAAGTGTAAGCCCATGGCTCGACCGAGCGAAACGCGATCCAACTGACCTGCTTGACGTTCACCATCACGAAGGAGTCCACCTCCGGGAATTTGTTCTCGTAGAACCGACACTGTGTTAAAGACATCTTGGCTGTGTCTAAGGTGATGCTCGAGGGGTATGGCGGGGTTCGAAACTGGGTCCGTATTCGGGGTGAGACGTCGGCGCGTCTATTGCAGGAAGTCGCTCCTCGTGAATGGCGGGAATTTGATCGGGTTCAGTTCTAGAGATCGTCTTGACGGAGAAGAGTGCCGAGTTAGACCAAGATCGGGCGCGAGAGGTGACGTTGGCTACGGTGACTGTTTTTGATGCAAGGTCGAAAATTATCGAGAGGCAGTGTGGGGTGTGGCTTTTTCGGCGGGGTACAAAAAAACGACTTGGTGTGGCGGTGGTAAGTTAAAGTTCCTACCCGAGTCCTAAAGGTAGTAGCATCTCCAGAATCATCACTTCGACCTCCAAATCTTAGCTATAGGCGCCATTGCCAGCCAGACTCTCATGACGTGAAATTCATAGCCCCTGAATGAAGGATAAATTATAAAAATAAATAATAAAAAAAACGCTATACAATCGGCTTGTTAACGTATGAGCTGATAACTATAATACCTCCGCATATTCTCTCCTCCAGATATTCGAAGGATAAGTCATATCATATAGGATTGTATCATACCGTAGTAGGATATCCAACTTATATGACGACACACTCTTAACTTGATCTATCTGACTTCTATGTCTTTTGTAAATATGATTCCTCTTTAAATGAAAGAAGAGAACTATCATCCTATTGCTAGTAGGGTTAGGGTTCTTCGTGGAATGAATCTGTCGACAAATGTCAGTGCTGGCTCGCTCGTTGGCGATCGAGTTGCCAGTTGCCGGCCGCACACTAGGGCTGCCCCCCGGCCCTGGTTGCAGGTCCCAGAATTTTAGCGTGAGCCTCAACTACTGCCAGCCTCCAGGCCAGGGCTGCTTGCTGCGACAGGAGCATTTAGGTCAGGTCGACAAACCAAAGCTTCCCTTGTTGGGATGAACGTCAATTAGCTTTGGTTGCAAGGGGCAAATAATCACGACATCAAAGATTTCTTTCACCCACCATGTTCAACGCATCGACACTATAATCCTGCAACGACATCCTCCCAGCTGATTCTCACCCGCACGTGTGTGTGTTCGAGCTTGCGATCACGATGGCCCCGATGGCGCTCGATGAGCCGGTGCTGCAGCCAGGACCCAAGGCCGACCTGCCCCCGCCGACCGTCTATCCCGTCAAGGAGGTTCATTTCGAAAAGTTCATCTCCCCTCAGCATGATGGCCGCGAGAAGGCCTTGGCGCAGCCCGAGGGCAGCGCAGCGATTGTCATTGACAACGGTCAGCCGCCTCCCTGGCGCTTGCACATCCACGAAAGCCTCCGTTGCTAACCAGACCATCCACAGGCTCTTCTGCAGTACGCGCAGGCTGGTCGTTCGAGTCGAAGCCGCGGCTCGTCGTGCCCCCGATCATGGCCAAGTACAGAGACCGCAAGTTGGGTCGGACCTTCAGCTTCGCCGGCTACGACTGCTACTCCGACACCACCGCGCGAGGACACATCAGAAACGCCTTTGAGGCTGGCACGAACATTGTGAGCAACTGGGATGTGATGGAGCACGTGCTCGACTATGTCTTCATCAAGCTCGGCCTGAACAGTGCCGAGGGCTCCATCGACATGCCCATTGTCATGACAGAGGCGGTGGCCAACTTGCCGTACTCGCGAAAATGTGGGCGCTTGAGCTTCTCCATCTCATGTAACTATGCTAACGTTGACATCCAGCGATGACCGAGATCATCTTTGAGTGCTACGGCGCGCCAAGCGTGGCATACGGAATAGACTCACTCTTCTCCTACAGACACAACGGAGGCAAGACTGGTCTAGTCGTCTCCTCATCCTACAGCTCTACACACGTAATCCCAGTCTACAACCAGAAGGCAATGCTTGCACAGGCTACTAGACTGAACTGGGGTGGCTGGCATGCAGCCGAGTATCTCCTGCGGCTCATCCGTCTGAAGTATGATCACTTTCCTGGTAAGCTCAGTGCCTCGCAGGCGGAGTACATGCTGCAGGACCACTGCTACTTGTCAAAAGACTACGACGCGGAATTGCGTGGCTATCTGGATTGGACGGGACTTGAAGACAGGGAGCGTATCATCCAGTATCCCTTCACCGAGGAGGTCATTGTCCAGAAGACTGAAGAAGAGCTCGCCAAGATTGCCGAGAGAAAGAAGGAGAGCGGTAGACGACTCCAGGAGCAGGCCGCAAAGATGCGCCTTGAGCGACTGATGAAGAAGGAGCAGGAGCTCGAGTACTACAAGGACGTCCAGCGAAGGCTCGTTGACCAAAATAAGAAGGAGACGAAGCGGATCCTAGACGATGCTGAAGTCAAGGACGAGACGCAGCTGGAGCGAATGGTACGAGATCTGGAAAAGTCGATCAAGAAAGCGCGGATAAAAGATCTGGGCGGTGAACTTGAGGAAGAACAGCAGGAAGAGCCAGTATTCGATCTACTAGATGTACCGGATGATCAACTGGATGAAGCCGGTATTAAAGCGAAGCGACAGCAAAGACTCATGAAGTCAAATCATGAGGCTCGGGCGCGCGCCAAGGCTGAGAAGGAGGCCGAGAAGGCACGCGTTGCAGAAGAAGCGCGACTAGACGAGGAGCGGCGAACAAACGACCTGGAAGGCTGGCTGGATGAGAAGCGGCAAGCACTCCAAGCTACAATCACCAAGATCAAGGACAGAGATCGTCTCAAGCAGGATCTCGGTAACCGAAAGTCTCTCGCCAGTCAGATGCGCATGAAGACCCTGGCCAATCTGGCTTCTGACAACCCCAGTGGCTCTGGATCAAGAAAGCGGCGGCGTGGAGGCGACGACGACGACTTCGGCGCCGACGATGCCGACTGGGGTGTCTACCGCAATGTGGCCATTGGCGCCAACGCCGGTGACAGTGACGACGAGGAGGGAGAGGAGAACCTGGAGGCGGCGGTCAAGACACTCGAGGAGGACCTGCTCAAGTACGACCCTGACTTCACCTACGAGCACACGCTCGAGGCGCAGAACAACTGGACCAAGTCCCTACTGCATGCGTTCCGCTACGGCCCCCGACCCGTAGACGAAGGATCTGCCGCCGAGCGCCACCAGCTACACCTCAACGTTGAGCGCATCCGCGTGCCCGAGGTCGTCTTCCAGCCGTCTGCCATTGCGGGCATCGACCAGGCCGGCCTCGTTGAGATTGCTGGTGACATCCTGAACCAGCGCCTCACGGGCATTCCTGGCCTCAACCGCGACGACTTCTTGCGCGACATCTTCCTCACAGGCGGCTTGACCAAGTTTCAGAATTTTGACGAGCGTCTCCGGTCTGGACTGCAGGCCCTTCTGCCCGCCGATTCGCCGCTGGCGATCCGCCACGCAAAGGATGCTTTGCTCGACGCCTGGAAGGGCGCCGCTGGTTGGGCGGGCACACCCGCATGGCAGGCGGCCGCTATCACGAGGGAGGAGTACCAAGAGAAGGGGTCAGAGTACCTCAAGGTGAGTCATCCATCGTCGGAGTAGACTTGCAGTCTGCGCCTTTTCAGCCGCAAGACGCTAACAGGTTACTGTGCAGGAACACGATCTGGGAAACACTTTCTAAAAATCTCGATAGGTCGATAGGTCAGACGACCACGTCTGTTGCTACTGGGGCTGAGATGGGCTTAAAAAAGCAGGTGCCACGTTGCGTTGAGACTTGTTTTCGTGTCGGCGGTGAATTTGTCTAGCTTCCGGGGCCAGGATAGACCAGTGGCTTTATCTCAGGCGGTGAAAGAAAGGAAATCGGTTGTTCAATGTACATTATGATGGGGTGTTTCGGTCACACTAAAACAGCAGAGGGGAAATGGCCTAAACAACAACTTGTAATCACCAATGCTGGTCTCCGTCTAAATTGCATGGTCCTCGAGGCAAAAGCATGCAGAGAAGCCATAAGCTATCGTATAGTCTCCAGTTTTGTCTTCTCCTATCACCCTGCGTTCCATAGTCTGTTTTGGTCCCTCGCGGCAATCGACACTAGAAAGAATAACCAACGCCCTCCCTGGTCACAACACACTCGCCTTTGTGTCCTGAGTTATACTCGCACAAGACAACAAGAGGCCAGAAACTAGAGACAAATTCCGCCTGAAAACGCCAACACCTAATCGATACTCTTGGCAAGCCGAAAATTCCACAACGCCAAAAATGGGGGGAATCAAATGAAAGTGAGTTTACATGGAAGCTGCGGGGATACCATCACCGTGCAGCTGCCGACCAATCTCGTCCGCCGTTCGCGCCTCGTCACTATTCGTTTGTTTAGTCGAATATGGATGTTCAGCACGCTCTAGATTAGCCACAGCTTGAGCAACAGCTTCGAGAGGTGTGCCTGCTGCCGGCCCGGCAGTGCTCGGGGCGGGCTCCGGAGCTCTCGCGGCAGCTGGAATCGGCGCCGGGGGCTGTGCCGGATGCGGAAGGCCGGGGTGAGATAGGTTGATATTAGGAGGCGGCTGCGGATACTCGCCCTGTGCCCCTAGTAACCGAGATTGGAGCTGGATGACGTATTCCCTCAATGCATAATTCTCCGACTGCATAGCCTTATAGTTATTCTCCATGTCTGAATAATCGCGCACTTGCTGCTCGAGCTTCTTGATGTAGCCCTCCTTCCTTTGTCGGAATGCTCTCTGTTGAGAATTTGAGTCAGTTACATAATATATTACGAAGCAACGTGGAACCCCTGATTTAGCTTTGACTTTTGGCCCGCTTTGTTGATCATGCACCCGCAACTTTGCCACCACCTCAATGCCGAGAAAGCACACTTGCGATGAATAATCATGCATGCGAGACGGACGACTGTGCATGGGCGCGACCCTCTCTCGGCTGCCAGACGGCATAGACGTCAAGATTTGCCAGAAACTTTCCCAGCATTGTGTACTCCCCCATTAGGCGCCAAAGATTCCAAGTTGAGTTTCAAGGGGGCGTCAAGGGGAAAGGGAAAACTTGCCTGAGCAGCTCTGTTTTGCGCAGCACGCTTCGACTGGGAAAGTTCCCGCTTCGCTTTGCGACCATCAGCCGCGTTCTCGCCGATATCATCAAGGTCTAAGTCGGGGGCAGCAGTTGACGCACTTGAAGAAGAAGGACCGGCAGCAGGGCCGCCATGGTCGGATGCAGGTGGAATGCCTGATGACATCATGCTCGCAGTTGCAAGGTAGGTAGGTGAAGATCTCAGCGAGGGATGGATATGCGCTTCGGAGTCAGGAGTTGATATAGCTGACGGAACGGCGGGAGCTGAGGCGTCGCTATATCCATGTGGCAGTGGTTGCGGCTGAGGTTGGGGTGGTGACCCTGGAGCACCTCGCGCGTTCGAGGTTGGCCGGGAGTTTATAAGACTCGGCGACGGCGGCGCGGCGGCCTCGTTGTTTAAAAAAGATGTTCCGGCGAGCTGTCCTCGCAAATTCGGCTCTGCAGTGGAGAGGCGATCATGTCAGCATGGTTGGGTTTAAGAGAAGACCCGGAGGTGGGTATGAAACGCGATTATAAAAGAGCGAGGGGGGAGAGCTAGGCAATGGGATGCATGCCTCGTACAAGCCAGGCAATGAGACGGACTAGTCGGTGATGGACGGTATTCTGGATCTAGGATCGAGAAACGGGCAAGGTTTAATAGGCGGACTGCCGCACAGAAACCCCAAGTTGACCAGGGTCGCAATCGAGGAGACAGGACTGACGGCAGATTGCCCGTACATACATACATACATACATACAGACAGACAGACAGGCAGTCAGACATACATACACTGGTACAGGCCAGGGTATATGAGGCGAGTAAGCCCAGGTAGAGTAGATCTGTGAAAGTGCAGGGAGGTCGCGCAGGGTGCAAGGGGATAGGTGATGCAGCCAATTGCTCCGAAAGAGAGAGTTCCAGCCTGGTAGCAGCAGCAGCAACGCCACAAGAGGGTGACTGAGAGACTGCCCTTGGCTCCTGGCAGCAGGGCTGGGATAGAAAAAGACAAAACAAGAGAGGCAGGACGGTGCAATGACAGCAAAAGCCAGAGCAGGGGGCGGGTGATGATTACATATTATGGCGGATTAGATTGAAAAAAATGTACAGATTCCGGTGTACGAGGTACCCAGTCAGTCAAACGTTCTGGCGTGTAAGAGATGGAGCAATTATGTAAGGGCAGCCAGAGACTGAATGAGGTAACACGGGGATGGATGAGGTGCTAGCGAGGTTGGCATTGAAGATGTTAGGCTTGCAGGGAGAGCAGACAACTGGCCTGGAGGGATGGGATGGGGTGCAGTGCAGTGCAGTACACCAAGCCAGAGTGAGGGAGGGCCTGCGGCTGCGCGGGTGCAAAAGGCTGGGCTGGGCTGGGTTGGGGCGGGCAGTTTGCGGGTAAAAGAACCGTCAGAGAGGTAAGTACTATGTATGTCTCGTCTCCGATGATGAAATACCTGCAGCAAAAAAGACATACAGAGAGAGAGAAGGGAAAAAAAATAACCACTGACGGGATGCAGATTTGTTGTGGCGTGTATACCGCGTCGTGCTTCTTCTGGAATAATGGCCTGGGACAGCGAGTGCACTTGCTCTCAACAGGCTGACCAACACGACATAAGACGACGACCAACAGCGCGTAACGAGCTTTCTTCGACTGGAGGAGCTCGGAGTGTGGGCAGAAAGCGCAAGATGTAGCCGTGAGGGGCGGAGATAGACGAGAGGCGACCGACGATCGAGGCGCACTGGACCGGGAGATTTCCAGGGGAGGAGACGACGAGAGCAGCGATGCGATGCGATGTGATGCGATGCGACAGAGGCATGTACCGATACAGATATAAGAAATTGATTGTCACTCACCGATCTTGACGGCCTGCATCCTAGGTTCGTTCGCATGAGCAGCAGTCCGCGCTCTCTGACTCAGCATAAGACGAGGGTGTGGTTTGGGTTTGGGGTGAGGGATGTGTATGTAAGTGGTGGTTATTGTGGTTAAGTAAGGCAAATTAAATGGAGCTCTGGTGTGGCATGGGCCGTATGGCAAGGTAAAAAAAAATGGTTAGGTCAGAAACGGACAGGACGGAGGTAAAGGTAAGGTAAGGTGTTAGGTTAGGTAGAGGCTGGCTAGCTTTGTTGAGATGGGTGGCTCCCCGGGATTGGATTACTACACACACACACACACATCTCCCTCACACACAAGGCAGGAACAACGCCAACAAGCGTGCAGTGACTGAGAGAATGGGAAGGCGCGCGGGACCACCACCCCATCCAGGAGGAGTGTACTTCCACTTGCAAATGGAAAGACCGGGCCTTGTCTCGGCGCTAGTCGCTCGCACTGTACAGTGCCGTCGCACAGCGTACTCTCTCTGGCCTGGTCTTGGCTTCAATGCTTTCTCGCTCCCTCGCTCGTTCGCGAGCTCGCAATGCGACGGCCGCCATACCTTACCTCCTACGTAACATGCTACCCAACTTCGACTACCTACTTTTCTCTTACTCAAGTTCATGCTGGATTCCTCAAAACAAATGATCGTGCGGGCCATTACCTTACCTGGGAAAGGTACCTGAGCTACCTAGGTATGTCCACATGATGATAGGCGGGCTCGGGCTCACAAATCTTACCTGTCTTACCCTCGAAATACCTGCCTCGAATAGCTCCAACATGAGGTATTAAAGGTACTGTACATTTTCAATTGTCACCTTTCCAGAATGCCCACTGGACTGCGAGCCACCCTGCGCCGGCACCTCGCAAAGTAAGCAAGGTACCCGGATGCGGTCGGCGGAGAGCCAAAAAGCGTGTGGCTGGGAGGTACCCTCCAGCTTAGACGGACTGCTCGTCCGTCTGCTCCTCAAACCTAACCTTGCTCGCAAATCTTACCAACGAGATGAGCACTGCTAATTTCCACAGTAAGGAAGAGGTACTTTGAAGCCAGCGGCGTTAATTAGGAAGAGAAACCTTGCCGACGGGGTCTGGTAAATGGGAGCCTGAGGGGAATACGCCTGATCTGCGCTCTCGGCAACGGATATCGCAAAGTCAGTAACTTGATGCGCCCAGACACCACCACCCACAGCACGATGGATGCCATACGCAGTAGTGAACTGGGTATGCACGCAGATATCCTGCTGGAGCTTCGGGGAGGTCGGGAGTTTTGGGTTCTCGAATCAGTGATTCCCTCACACCCAGTAAATGAATCCTTCCGCGGATGCCGTACCTGAGATCGCATTGCCGCAATACATAAGGTAGGTAGGTGAATAGATGGATAGAGAGAGAGCCATGAACTGCAAGATGTTCGAGTTCAAATCGACGCTTGACGATAATGACCAGCTTCCATTACTGTGTCCTATCAACTTCTGCCGGATTACCGTCTAAGTCTTGCATATCACGGGTCTACCTATCCTGGCTCTGCCCATATTTCCACTTACACACCTCACCTTGAGCAATGAGAAAGTTCCTGGGAACGGACAGTGCAAATATGTACTGTACAAACAGCCTAAGGTACGCACATGTGGCCCGAATATGCTTTGTGCGACCAAGAGCCGTACCTAATGTTACCTACCTGCCTCGATAAACGGACCAAGTCCCAGTCCATATTAAACTTGTTTGAGCCTTCCTACCTGCCTCCTGTACCTACCTGGCATTACTT